GGGAATAATGACATTAATCAAACTTAGAGTAGTCATAACATGACAATAGTTACTAATAAGGAAAAGGACAAACAGTAGGAATAGGACACCGCGAATTACCAGCGCGGGGGCAGGCGCTCCCCGCCGGGCGATGCGCGCCGCTACCAGCCGCTGGCGGTGCAGGCGTAGGTGGCGGCGTGGGCTGGTGCGACTTGGTGGACAGCGATTCCGACAGCGAGCACAGCGTGGGCAGCCTCGGCCACTGGCTCGCAGATGAGATGCACGAGTCCGCGAGGTCGGGGGCCGTCGACGGGGGCTTGCTGGGCCGGGAGGAGAAATCCGCGACGCCGGAGGTCGTCGATGCGGGCTCCTGCTGCGAGGTGCTGCAGGTCAAGGATGGCGTGTTCGGGGCGTCGGAGGTCGTCGAGGAAGGCTCGCGTTACGACGTGAAGCTGTGCGGGATCGTCGAGGCCGCCCGCGCGAGCTCGCAGTTCGATGGGGCCCTGGAGGCCGAGGCGCCGTCGGAGACTGGTGGCCTGCCGGTGGCCGTGGTCGAGTGCAACCAGATGGCGTTCCAGAGGGTCTCAGTCGTGCAGGAGAACCGCTTCTCCCAGTGGAGGCTGGAGCGCGCCGTGCTGGTCGCGACCGGCAGGAGGATGGGCAAGCAGAGCGAGTTCGTGTCGTCGGAGGTCGCCGACGCGGGCTCGTGATACATCGAGAAGCTGGACATGGTGAGCGAGTTCGTGACGTCGGAGGTCGTCGATGCGGGCTCGTGCTACAGGTGCGTGTTTGACGCGTCGGGGGCCGCCGTCGGCGCTCGCAGTCCGAGGGGCTCGAGGAGGGCGCGGGCCGCGTGATGCACATGCTGGCGCAGGGGCTCGTCGGGCAGGGTTCGGGGCCCGAGTCGGAGACCTTGCTCGGCTCCTCCGAAGTCCAGGCTGCTGAGCGCAAGGTGTTCTCAGGAATGCTCGATTCCCAGAGGGTGCTCGTTATCGAGACGTTGGCAGGCGTCATGGCTCCCAGGTGGGCGAGGCTGGGACTGGGGGCCCCGGGGAGCGTAGCGAGGGCCTGTCAAGGACTGAGTTTTGAATGGGGGCGGGCAGCTCGGGGGGGGGGAGGTGACGCGCGGTGCCTGCCCTGGTTTTCGCCCTCCCTGCCTCGCGGGGGAGGGCCGACGCTTGGCGCTGGCTGGGTGCCTGCTGGCACGCGGGGGTCTTCCCCCCGCTCGCTCGTCGCAGGGGGGGTTGTTCGAGTGTTTTATTTGCCAGGTCTGCCTCCTCCTCCTCCTCCTCCTCCTCCTCCTCTTCCTCCTCCTCCTCCTCATCTTCCTTGCGGTCTGCTGAAGACGTCCTTTTCCGCGCCAGCCACCGGGGCGTGTCCAGAATGCTCGTAGACCTGGAGACAGAAGCGCTGAAGTATGGCGTCAAGGCGCGCGTGGGCATACCGACCGTTTTCACGCATGCGCTATCCAGACCGACGAGCGTCTGGTGTGCAGAGCGTGATGTTCGCGTGATACAATATGCTGAATCAGAAAAGTCTGGGACGGAGCCTTACACTGGATGCGTGCAGCGAGAAAGTGTTGGCGAACCGTCGTTTTGCAGGCTGCGCATCGTTCGACCGTTTGAAGGAGGTTTTTTGGCAATCGGCGACTCCCTCCGTACCGCCGGCTGAAGCTTTTCAGCGCGTGCGTCACGCCTTGTGTCGTGTACGCGGCAGGCACGTGGACGCTCGAGGCCCAAGGTCAACCAGGAGAAAAAGAAGCTCCGTTCAGCTTGGCGAAAGATGTTGCGATGCATGTTTGGCGCGTGCAGGCGCGCCGACGAAGCGTGGGTCGGTTCAATTCAGAGATCCAGCCGCAGTTCGTTACGAAGTTCAAGGTACAAGAGCGGGCATTCATGTTCTGGAAACAGAAATGGGAGCTGGCTGTGAAGATCGGTACTTGCACCGGCAGGAGATGGAATGCTCGACTCATGGGTTGGGGTCCTTGGCATCGCGTCGCAACGAGCCGTTCGCAGGGTGGACAACGAAAGCGATGGACAGACGTGGGACCACCGGCCGAGATCACGCATTTTTCTTCATTGCCGCCGCGGCCCCGCGCATCGCTGGAGAGTGCGGTGGCCCAGGTCTCTCCTCAGGCCGTTTTGTTTCCTTTTGTTGTTTGTGTCTTCATTTCTTTCAGTCTTGTTATGGTTATTATTCGCATTCGTATTTGTAATATTTTAAGATTTGCATTCTCATTATGAATAGTTTGTCTTCCTATCACTTGCTCCTCGTATTTTTTCATATGATTATTATTCGCATGCTTATGCTTATTTGTCTTATCATCCTTCTTCTTATTGTGTTATTATTGTTATGTGTCCTCCTCTGCTTCCTCCTCATCCACCTCCCGATAAAAAATGTATGATTTTCCCCCCTCCTGCTCCTCCTCCTCCTCCTCCTCTTCCTGCTTCCTCCCTCCTAGTGCCATTTTTTCGCTCCGCCTCCGCCCACGTCCCCACTTTTTCCCATCCCCCCTCTTCGACCGCGTCCTCCCATTGCTCCGCCGACGCCCCCACGGGGCCCCCTCTGGGGGGGCTGCCCCGCGGCGCTGCCCCGTGGACACGTTCTGCGTGAAGCTGTTGCTGGTGCTCGAGGGCCAGGGCGCCGCGGAGCTCAGGCGGCCCGCCGCCGCCCTCCCCCGTTTCTCGGCGGTTCAGGAACGAGGCCCTGAGCTTCCAGGCCTCCGACATGGAAATTGTTGACGCTTCGCGAACCCCCACCAGCCCATCCAGAAACGATGCCCAGAGGAATTGCCTCGATCAGGGAAGTGGGCAGCACACAGAGGAAGCCATTATGAGACATCTTGGGATATCTTGAACCATCTTGGAGGTCATTTTGGGTTCTCACAGGCGCTCTTGATCTTAATCAGTGCCCCCCAAGAGGCCAACATGTGGCTAAAACCTTAGTGAAAACAATGATTTGACATTCTCGCCGAGGCTTCTTGGAGCATCTTGGGTGCCTCTGGGGGGCCTCTTGGGAGTCTCTTGGGGGGCTCCTGGGGGCCTCTTGGGGGCCTCTTGGGGCCATCTTGGGGCCACCTTGGGACCTCTTGGGGCCTCCTGGGCGCTTCTTGGGGCCATCTTGCAGGAGATCGATCAAACAAGAGGGGAGATTCAATTCCCCCCCCCAGGAGGCCAAAATAGGGCCAACTGCCAAGTAAAAGCAATGATGTTGGCTTCCTCGCCGAGGCCGTGTTGGCATTTTCATTTTCGCCGGGGCTTCTCGGAGCATCTTGGGTGCCTCTGGGGGGTCTCTTGGGGCCTCTTGGGGGCCTCCTGGGGGCCTCTTGGGGGCCTCTTGGGGCCATCTTGGGGCCATCTTGGGACCTCTTGGGGCCTCCTGGGCGCTTCTTGGGGCCATCTTGGAGGAGATCGATCAAACAAGAGGGGAGCTTCATTTCCCCCCCCCCCCCAGGAGGCCAAAATAGGGCCAACTGCCAAGTAAAAGCAATGATGTTGGCTTCCTCGCCGAGGCCGTGTTGGCATTTTCATTCTCGCCGAGGCTTCTCGGAGCATCTTGGGTGCCTCTGGGGGGTCTCTTGGGGCCTCTTGGGGGCCTCCTGGGGGCCTCTTGGGGGCCTCTTGGGGCCATCTTGGGGCCATCTTGGGACCTCTTGGGGCCTCCTGGGCGCTTCTTGGGGCCATCTTGCAGGAGATCGATCAAACAAGAGGGGAGCTTCAATTAGGGTCCCCCCCAGGAGGCCAAAATAGGGCCAACTGCCTAATAAAAGCAATGATGTTGGCTTCCTCGCCGAGGCCGTTTTGGACGCTCCGACACCTCGCGAAACCCTTTGTCCAGGTCCATGGGGAGGGGGTAGGGGGAGGGGTAAACCCCTCCCCGAAAGGGAAGAAGGATGTGTGAAAGAGGAAACTCTCTAAAACACCGACGTCCAGAGGGCTGGTGGGACTCTGGTGACCTCGCAGGGCCAGCCTGACCATTGGAGAGCCATCTTTGGCCATCTGGTCCATCCTGGAGCCACCTTGGTAAGATTCCCGAGGTCCCCCTGGTTTCCTGTTACGATAGTTCCCAGCGCCAGGCAAGTCATTGGCCAGTTCACAGACCCCGACTGGCGCGCACGGGCTCCCCGCTCCTCGGCGGCTCAGAGATGGGACCCTGAGAGTCTCCAGGCCTCCTACCGTTGGCGCTGTGAAGAGCGCGTGCGATGTGGCGCCGATGGCCCGCTTATTACCCGCCTTTGGGGATAGCGTGCATCGGCGAGGCCCTGGCAGGTGGATCGCGTGCACCGACGAGGACTTCGTACGGGGATAACGTGCGTAAAAGGGGCCCTCGCGGGGAGATCGCATCACAGGGTTAGCGTGCTTTTCGGCGATCGAGTTTGCACGCTCCCTTTGCAACGCAAGCCGTAAAGGGGCGACGAAACAACAGCTGTCTCACGCGAGATGGCATGGCGACCTTCCGCCGCGGATCAATCGGGCCGCCAGCGCGGCAATCAACATTGGAAACGAGGGCGTTTACGCGCGAAGTTTCGCGGGCAATTCACGCGCCAACATCGGCGCAGTCGACTCCGTGTTCCTCCTTCGCTCGAATGGGGTTCGAGTAGATGGGGCGATCGCGCCGCATCGCCGATGATCCGGGATGCGGATCGATGAGGGGCCCGATTTTCTCCCCACTGGCGGCGCCGATGCTTCGCGGACGCCGCCGACGCATTGCGGACGCTGCCGATGTATCGCCAATGCATCGGCGATGCACCAGCGATGCGGCGCGACCTCCCGACCCTATCTACTAGGATTAAGTCGGGCCTGTCCCCCTACAGGGGGATGTTCGACGAAAAAAAGAACATCCAAACCATAATCCAAAATTATCCCAGTGCGACCCTACCTAGGAGTTGGAGCATTTAGGAAAGCAACATCTACATCTACACCGACAACTACATGTACATCTACACCTGCATCTACATCTACATCAACATCAACAGCGAGACTCACATCTACATCTACATCTACACCTACATATACACCTACATCTACATCTACATATACACCTACACCTACATCCACATGCGATGCTATGATATGCTGCGCTATGCTATGCTATGCTATGCTGCGCTCTGCTATGCTATGCTATACTATGCGGCGCTATGCTATGATAGGCTAGGCTATGCTATGATATGTTATGCTGCGCTATGCTATGCTATGCTGCGCTATGCTGTGCTATGCTGTGCTATGCTATGCTGTGCTATGCTATGTTGCGTTGCGCTACGCTAAGCAATGCTATGCTCTGCTCTGCTATGCTATGCTATGCTATGCATAGATGCTATGATATGCTGAGCTATGCTATGCTATGCTTGGCTATGCTATGCTATGCTATGCTATGTTGTGCTAATGCTGCGCTGCGCCACGCTGCGCTGTGCTAAGCTAAGGCAAGCTAAGCTGTGCTAAGCTAAGCTAAGCTAAGCTAGGCTAGGCTGAGCGAGGCTAAGCTAAGCTAAGCCAAGCTAAGCTAAGCTGCGCTAAGCTAAGCTAAGCAAATATGACATAAGCTAAGCTAAGCTAAGCTAAACTAAGCTAAGCTAAGCTAAGCTAGGGTAGGCAAAGCTAAGCTAAGCTAAGCTAAGCTAAGCTAAGATGATAAGCTAAGCTAAGATAAGCTAAGCTAAACTAAGCTAAGCTGGGTGAACCCAGGGGGCGCGAGTGGGGGAACCGCGGGGCGGGGACTGGGGGAACCGCCCGGCGCGCTTTCCACTGCCCGGCCCCTTTAAGTTAACAGAGTAAGAACCCTTCTAGGCAGAGCCTAGGTAGGGAAATAGTCCAAAAATACTATGGGTATTATTTTTTGAATATTTGGGGTATTTTGGGGGTATTTCTTATTTTTCGTCGAAAATTCCCCTGCAGGGGCCGATAGAATACTAGGACCCCAGAGTCGAAGAAGAGATGAACATACATTGTTGATGGGGCTGTGTTGGGCCAGGTCGAAAGCAGCTGAGGAGGGCCGCCGAGGGTGGCCAGGCGGGCGGGCGCGCAGCGGCAGTGGAAGCAGAGTCGGAAGCTGGGCGAGGGCTGCTAAAACCGTGGCTGCTAAAACGGCCCTCCCGGAAGGAAAAAACAACTTCCCGGAATGAGGCGCGGCAGGCGAAACAGTCAACGGACTTCTTCCCGGAAGGACGAAGACAACTTCCCAGAGGTCGATTTTAGCAGCCACCGATTTAGCAGCGCTTGCCCGGCTTCCGAGTGGAAGCAGAGGGTGTCCTAGAAGCGCCTCTCGGGGGCGTCCAGGAGGGGGTGGGGAACAAATCGTGGCGCCCCGATGCACATGCTCGTCACAGGCGGGGGGGGCGGGGAAGGGGCGGACGTGTCGAAGTCAAAAGGGGGGGCCACGAGATCGGGGGAGTTATCATGGCCCCGACCGTAATATCCATCCCTCTCGTAATCATCACTCCCGTCTTTGCCGCCCCCGAGCCTCTTACAGACGAGTCTAGATACGGCACAAACACAAACTTTCGGAGCTCCGCATGGATTGGTTTTGGGCCCCCCTGGCACCCTCCGCGTATGCGCGCCAGGGAGGTGGGGTCGAGCGCCGATCCAAGAGATCCAGCCGGATCTCCGACAGTTTAGGTTTGCGTCGGAGGTTGGGGGGTGAGATCGCAGTGAAAAGGAGAGCCCCCCCACCGGGAAATCGGTTTCGTTTTCGTGTTCGTGTCGTGCGTGCGGTCGAGGCGAAGCTGCGCGGGCGCGCGAGAGGAATGACCCGCCGTCGCTAGGGCGATTCGGATGCAGTGGACCGCCCCTCCGCCCCTGGTGGGCGCGCAGTGGCCTGGGTTGTCCCGCCGTAGTGTCCTGTGGTGTCCCGTTGGTGTCTCTCCATACACCGAGACCAGTAGCAATACCTCACACACCCTCCACTACGACCCGACTCACACGCAATATCACTTTCGACTTTCCAGCTACCACGCACTAGTCGAACTAAGTACCCCAATTCCAAGAAAGGAATACACGCTGGCACGTTCTCACCACCCTACAAACCTACGCACAACCAACAAAGGTTCCGACATGGCAATGACATGCCAGCATGTGTCAGCCACTCTCGTAACAATGAAACAGGCAGACTTGCAGTAATCACCACCAACCAGCATTTCCACTCACTGCTCACAGGCAACCCTGCCCCACTGAACCACAGCAAGATCAAGGCCATCCATGAAGCCGCGCAATGGCTCAACACATGCCACGACGACAGACTGAAGTACGACTGGGCAGTCAGCATCTACGCAACAACAGCACTCCTACAAATGATTTGTAACCCGACGGCGGTACACAGCACTACCAGACCCATACAGCCGACGCCCGCCACCGGCTCAAGCGACGATGACATTTCGACCACCACACACGACGAACAACAGACGCGGCACAGGTCCAACCCCACCGCCACCCACACACACACACATTCCACCAGCCAAAACACGCCACCACATCGAGCCACACCAATTGCGAACAAACCACCACCTCAGATGACAACGTCGCACACCACAATCAGTGACACGATCGTTGGCACACCCAAAGCACCTACCACAAAGGCCCTCACCACATGGTCACCTACACCACGATTCACCATACCCATTCGCCCACCGCCGCCGACTCTCAGGATCCCCGTTGTCTGCCCACC